TTCAATTTGCCAATCGTTTAAATACTTGCAAAACATAAAAAACAAAACTTGGTATTCGGCATCTTTTTCCCTTATTCTGTTTCTTGTTATTTTTTCCAACAATAAAACAAAAAAAAAAACATAAAAAAACCAAATAAAATAAAATATCCATTCCCCAGTCAATTTCAAAACGAAAAAAGCAATGGAATTATCCAACTACCTTTCAATTCGCCCCCCGCCACGTGCCGCCTTTCAATTTGCCCGCACATTAACCACTCTCGTAAGCAAACCTCCAGAGTCCATTATCTACACCAAACTCCTAAACTCCCGCACATCATCACCGTCGATTTCATTCAATCATTGATGGGTTTCACTTTTGAACGCTTTTGATCTCTTTAGTGTGTAAACTCGACCGCATAGGATTAAACACGTCCTAGGTCCTCGTCGACCTTATAATGCAAACCAAATGGCCCAGAGCTACAAGTCGGCCTCTGCTGTTCAACAATGGAACGCGTTCTCTCTCTCCTCGTCACTTTCTCTCTCTTGATCGTCTCGCGTGCGCAATTGGACAGCACAGATCCCCTTATCAGGCAAGTGGTGGACGGCGGCGATGAGTCCCACCACCACCACGACCATGACCACGCTCTCGGGGCCGAGCACCACTTCTTGCTCTTCAAGCACAAATTCGGCAAGTCGTACGCGAGCAAGGAGGAGCACGACTACAGGTTCGACGTGTTCAAGGCGAACCTTCGCCGTGCCGCGCGCCACCAGCGGCTCGACCCCTCGGCTCAGCACGGCGTGACTCGGTTCTCCGATATGACCCCCGCCGAGTTCCGGAAAAGTCAACTCGGTACTCAGAGGGCTGAAGCTGCCCGAGGACGCCACCAAGCTCCGATTCTCCCGACGGAGAATCTGCCTGAGGATTTTGATTGGAGAGAGCATGGAGCTGTCACCGCCGTTAAAAATCAGGTCTTTTGTTATTTTAACGTTCCAGAAATAGAATTATTTTTTGTACTTTAACTTTGACGTATCTGTTTATTGATTGGGATATTTGGGCTTTCTTTTTGTTTTGGGAATTAGGGTTCGTGCGGATCGTGCTGGAGTTTCAGTACTACAGGAGCGTTGGAAGGTGCACACTTTCTCGCAACTGGAGAGCTTGTGAGCCTCAGCGAGCAGCAGCTTGTGGATTGCGATCATGAGGTTTGACTTGTTCTTTTCCCTTTTGTTTTATTTGGTGTGTTTCTGGTGTATGAAGAAAATTGGGCCTTTTTATTGATTTATATACATTTTGGGGATTTCAATTGCTTGATTTTGATTGGTAAATTCTCTTGGGTTTGTGTCAGAATATTTGTTACAATTGTTTTGTTCAAATAATTTGTGTTGTGGTGTGTATGTGGAGGCCCACATGGAATCTGGCAGTACCGAAAGACACAAACTTGAACTTTTTGCTTGCATTTATAACATACCCTGAGGTTTCTCAAGTCTCAACACTAGTCACAAGGAGAATGGAAAAAGGTCGAAATTGCAAGGGTTTAGCTAAAATTCACGAACTTGGTTTATAAGTTGCAGGAAATATGGCCTTTATGTTGTGATTGGTGTCTCTGCTGTTGTTATGGCCTTATTGTTGTGTTCTGCTTTGGGTTTATTAAGATTACGGGATGTAGCAAGAAGTTATATTTGGATGTAAATGGTTAATGGTTGTTGGTTGCTTACTGCGTTGAAGGATTTGAAACGGATGTTGTTCTTGATTTTAACCGGCGTTGATGAAATGCAGGCGCTCCTGCTCATGAAGCACCGTTCTCATTTTACATGTCTTGCATTCGTTGTCTTTGATAATACATTAGCAATGCATATCGAATGGTGTTATCAAGTGCTTTTGTGTTTTGTAGCACTACATAATGAATGATGCTTGTGATTTAGCAATAGAACTACTTGACTTTTGCAATCATTCTATGATGACTCCTACAGAAAGGATTTTTCTTTAAATTGCTGGTTCTTACGCGTTATTTCTGAATATTGTGCAGTGCGATCCAGAGGAGGCTAGGTTCATGTGACTCTGGATGCAACTGGTGGACTCATGAACAGTGCCTTTGAGTACGCACTCAAAGCTGGTGGACTAATGAAGGAAGAGGATTATCCATACACTGGTACTGATAGTGGAACCTGCAAATTTGACAAGAGCAAAATTGCAGCATCAGTTTCCAATTTCAGCGTTGTCTCCCTTGATGAGGATCAAATTGCTGCCAACCTTGTGAAAAATGGCCCTCTTGCAGGTACTTAGAACTTTAGAAATTTGTAATTTTGTTTCTTTCCCTTTCTGTTAAAAAGCAGTTTGTTATTCATGTGTTCATCATGAAATTTAAGAGCGTTGCATTAAAGATGTTGGCTTAAGCTCTAATAGTGGTTAGGATTGGCTGGTGTTAACGATTTTCCATTGTTCGAGTGCAGTGGCTATTAACGCGGTGTTCATGCAAACTTATGTTGGTGGAGTTTCATGCCCCTACATATGCTCAAGGCGGTTGGATCACGGGGTGTTACTCGTAGGTTACGGTGCCGCTGGATATTCTCCCATCAGATTGAAGGAAAAGCCATACTGGATCATCAAGAACTCCTGGGGAGAGAACTGGGGAGAGAATGGATTCTACAAAATCTGCAGGGGCCGAAATATCTGTGGCGTGGACTCCATGGTCTCGACCGTTGCTGCAGCTTCGGTTAAGACCAACTCTGAGTAGTAGGGCCCAACCCTAGCTTACAATTGCAGTTGTGTTTAATGTGTATACAAGTTGTGGTGACATTCATTGGGCATAACTCCAATTGTTTTGCAGTCTTCTGTCAGGCTTGCAAAACACAAGACTCCATTTATCTTCTATAAATCTTGGTGTTTGTCCGAACGGCGTAAATGTCCTTTTTTATGTGTTGATGCAAGTTGTTCGAAATATACATGGATTATGGAGTATAGTTATTGCTTTGGCAAGAACATGCCTGCTTATTTTGTCTGCTGCGTCAAAAGGTTCCTTCTCCCATGTTTCAGATTTTTCGAAGTGCACGTTTAGTGGTGCAACTTGGATGGCAACTTATGAACCAGATGGAATGTTTCTTCTTCTTTTTTTTGTTTTTTTTTTAATTTTTTTTTTTTTGTCACTTGGTACTACGATCTAGTAATATTCCTCTTCACTTGTAAGTGAGAGGCCTTAGGTTCGATTCTCGCCAAATGCGAATTTGAATTATGTTATTGCTAGTCCAGTGTGAGGCTAAGCTCACTCCCTCTCCTTTAGTGTAAATAATATGGTTCATTAAAAAAAGACAACCTTTAAAGTGTTAAAAAAAAAAAACATTTGTTAAAAGAAAAACATTTTAAGTCTCTATGTAGGCATGGAGGATTTACTCAAGTTGACTAAAGCAGTGTTTTCCATCTACAAGAAGTTTGAATTCCTCTTCTCATAATTTTTACACATATTTAGTGTAGAATATATCATATTGTTAATTTGTAAAAAAAATAAAAAAATAAAAAAGAGTTTATCATTCGTCATATTCTTTTTTTTTTCTTTTTTTGAGAAAAATAAATTCTAAGAAAGTATTTTTCGCACTTCAAAAATCTCATTCTACGCTTCTTACAAGGGTATTTTTCTTTCCTAATATGAAAATTTGAAATGTAGAATGAGATTTTTAGAGTGCTAATAACAATTTCCTAAATTCTATTGATCATTTAGGCATTAAGAATTGGAGATATATTTTGACAGTCCACCCATAAAAATGTCAGTGGCATGCCAATTTTGCTGCGGGGCACCATTTCATGACTTTGACCAACTGAAAAAACACTCGCATTTTTGAAAATCAGATCATTATAAAGACATGGTTATTCTTCTACACCTTCCACAAATCCATAAACCAGTCGAAAAAGAAAGAAAGATAGTGAACTTCGTTTGCCTTCATCTTCTCTTCTACCACCTCGTTAATCTCAAATCTCTTCAACCTTTCATTGTTTTTTTTAAAGCCGTAAGAATTGGAGGGAACTAAACGAATTTAATTTTTCTATTGAAGATCTCTAATTATTTTGTTTTATCCAATATCTTATTTCCGGCATCTAAACTGAAAGTTCTTTTTATCCAATATCTTAGAAGTTACTAATCTTTGTTAGTATGCGAGTGGTTTTTTAAAAGCCGTATGTGAGAATTGGAGGGGACTAAACGAATTGGATTTCTCGATTGAAAATCCTTAATTTGTTTAGTTTCCTCCAATATCTTATGTCCGACATCTAAACTTAGAAGTTACTAATCTTTGTTAGTACGCGAGTGGTTTTTTAAAAGCCGTATGTGAGAATTGGAGGGGACTAAACAAATTTCACTTCTCAACTGGAAACCTTAATTTGTTTAGTTTCCTCCAATATCTTATCTCCAGCATCTAAATTAAAAGTTATTGATCTTCGTCCAAAGGTCGTACTTGTTTGCTCTTTTAAAAGCCGTATATAAGAATTGGAGGAGGCTATACGAATTTAACTTCATAAAGAAATCCTTAATTGTTTAATGTCCTCCAAGATCTTATTTCCGACATCTAAGCTGAAGTTTCCATTTAAAAGTCGTACGTGAGCCATGAAGAACACCAAATAAATTGGCATCTTAATGCGACAATTTGTTTGGTTTCCTTCATCTCATTTTTGCAACTTGAAGAACTTTGTTTTTATGGTGTTCAGACTGCTTCTCTCAACCAGGCCTCTAATGTAGTTTTTTCGGTTTGTTCAATTTTTATTAATTTTTTTCTTCCTGAAACAAGTGAATCAGTTTCTCTTTCTGAAATGAATATGTTTTACTTGCAAAACAAAAAATAATTTTTTTTTTTTGTTGGTATACTCATAGACCTCTCACTGACGAGTTGATTGAAAATTCGCCATCTGCAAGATTCGAACTTAAGATCTGTCACTTACAAATGAAGAGAAATGCTACCAGGCCACTGTACAAAGCAGCATAATTTGGTTACGTCGACGTAGGAAAGAATACAAGGGTGAAGCCAAAACTCATCTCGGATTGGTGAAGAACTATATTATTAATTACTAATAGCATAATTTAGAAGATGTACTCTGGATTACTCGAACAGCACAATACTAATTATCGTCTTTATTACATACGGTCACAATTGCCATATACATTAAGACGCTGGCCTAATAAACTTGCTTATTCCTCCCAAGAACAAATAAATAAACATGCTTAAAGTGGGTGATGCCCAATTCGAAAACCAACCGAAAACTCCTCATACAAGGTGCATCACAATTGCTTTCTTTTGTACTGTTCGAATGAAAGAATCAACTCGGGTTCGTACCTATTCACAGTCGACTCCATGGCTTAAACACCGCCAACGACTTCTTTTTACGGCATCACTCATCGTCGTCGTCAAGCAGTGCGAACGAGTACGGATAGAATTTGTAACCATCCCCTTCATAAAACTTGTTCTGGAATTCCACCCAGTGAAGTCGAAGAGCGTGAAGGAAAGCACTGAGGGTTTCCATCAGTAGTAAAACACCGACAGTGGCGCACACAAAGACGATGAGACCCACTATGAGTATAATCCAATTGTTGAACCTGTGAGACGTACAAAAGAATATGTTTCATTTATTTCCCTTGCAGATGTTCGGTAAGACTGCCTAATTAAATTTGACAATTCAAATCTCTGTCACAACTTCTTGGGCGTAGGTAATAATCCAGATGAGCAACAGAAACAAATGGAAATGAACTCCTGCTAAAACATTCATTTGGTGCTCATTGGCCTATTCTCTACATCCCAAGAATCGACAAAGATTTTGAAACTGTGGCCAACTTTGACGGAGTACTGAATAAAAGCAGCATCACAAATGAGTTAAACATACCCCCAGGCTGTTAGGAGAACCTTGTCGTAGAACACACTGGACAACTCTGAATGAGCAAGACTGTACAAAGTTCCAAAAGACAAATGCCCGGCATTAGCACTTATTGCGCAAATAGATAAAAAAGGATATTATGCGAATACAACTTATTGACCACATTCTATTCTGTCATGGCTGAAAGAAAAAGTGCTATTTTTTTTGTAGAATCCAAGTACCAGATAAACCAATTAATATAATGAGGGATCTTGCCGGTCATTGTCATGTCACCAAGTGGAAAAGGAATGTCTTCCCCAGAGACAGTGAATAAGCTGTCTAGTATTGACATTTCTTACAAAACAATGACATGCATGGTTAAACAGCTCGGTGGCATGTCAAAATCGAATTGTGTAGACAAACATGCAAGGCTAACACAATTTACTACTGAATGCGAATTTTATTATTGCTTCAATTTTAAACTTTATGAAGCCAGAAAGTTCATTTTTATTTCAAGACTTCCCAACATAGAACACAACTGCAATAACGAATGCAGACATGAACTGGCATACGCGTACAGAAAATCAAATACACCAAGAAAGCCAAGAATGACAGTTCAAGTTCTAAGAAACTACCTTAAAGCCCATAGACGAAGGTAAGAAGCTGTATTTGAGACTGCTCCAAGTACAAATTCTATTGTGTGTATCATTTGATGTACGAAAACTTCACTAAACTCAAACTCCTCATGACCATGGGCATCATGGTTTGAATTCACCTGCAAGCTCTCTTCGGTGTTCTCAAGTAGAGCATAGGATTGACCTTGATGCCGCTGAAATAACATAATACCATCAGAAGATGCAAACTAATATGAACAATAGGGAGAGAGGTGATGATCAAAACGACTGAGGGTGAAAGGATGTCAAACATACATCTTGGTGTTGCTTCTTCAAAAGAAAAGGCTTTGGAAACAGCATCCATGGTACAGCAACAAAAGCCAACAATAATAGTACAAGCTGGTAAAAGAACAAATAAAACATGAGGAATACTCACATTTTCTTTTTAACAGAAATATTTAAAATAAGGAAAAAACGCTGATGGAGGGGATACCTGAACTGTTTTCTGACCATTGAAAAGCTGATTTTCACCTAGCTCGTCTGTAGGACTTAGGAACATGTATATCATTACATGGTAGAGATCAGCTTTTGAACCAGTCCACCACTTCATAACAATGAGAACAGACAAGTAGCCAAATAGACCGTTTAAAAATATCATCTGGGGTATAAACTGGAACCTGGGTAAATGAAGCAACTGAATGAATACAAAGCCATAAGCAGGGTGAGAAGCAGATTATAGAAACAACTAATGACATGACTGCAGACAGAAGAATTCACAGTACATATGTGAACTATTCACATTTACAGTGATGCATTTGCTGCCTTTGGTGGTAAAGTTGACACCTCTACTGAAAACTAATATAACAAAATAAAGATTCACAACTTACCAAACATTCAAATTACTTCGAAAGAACCTGGCATTGAAATAACTGATCATAATTCCCAGGTTCATCTGGACCACGCCAATAATAATTGACATTTTCATCTTCAATGAGTTTAGAAATGGAAGCTCACTGCGGGATCCATGCCATACAGGATCCAGGCCAAATGGGTATGTGGGCCGCACCTTAATCAAGCCAGCTGTAGTAGCATCTCTGAAAGTCAAGATCAATTAACTATTACAAACATTTCAAAATGAGGATGCAGAAGAGAAGGATATACATCTCCAAAATTTTAGGCACATACCTGCAAGAAAGATCACGGCATGCATATGCTGAGGGACCAAACAGTTCGAACGGGACAGAGAAGAACTCATTATAGATAAAACCTGTGTAGATTGAGAAAATTGCCATCAACAAAATCACATAACGACCACCAAAGGCCATCTCCATGATGTCTCCAAGCTTCTGTAAAACCATAATAGTATATAATTAGATTCTTACATGAAGACAAAAACGGTTGAGGGAAAAAAAAAACTGCTTCCCAGAAATAAGTCAAATAACCAACATGTGACGGGGAAATGACAAGAACCCACATACTAACAGAGACTAAGATCTCCATCTCCTTTGAATGTTGAGTAACGAAGTGAAAAGAGGAAAGTAATCACAACAAATGAATTCAGGGTATGTTTACTTGCAAGGAATGGGTATCATTCCCATATACCCATTCCTTCACATACCCAGCCAAGTAAGTAAACATGCCATCAAAATTATACAGAGGAAGTATACTCATGAAGAAGCAGCACCTCAGAATTAGCAGTTTTAAAGGAATTCCCACTTTCTATGAAGCTCATCAATAGACAATATCAGATATTCAAAGGTCGACAAATCAAATCCTTTTAACCTAGAATAGTTCCTTACTCCTCAAAACACTAGAGGTAAAAGACACAATCTGTCAATCCTAAAACTTAATAAACAATCACAATTCCCTGACAGGATGGAAAGAGAGGAAAGGAAAAAAAGGAGGAGAAAGAAAGAATGGCATAGTGAAATATCATTTCTTTATCTGCAATAGTATCAACATTCATGGAGTAAAGGAAACAAAATATTGTAGAATATTGGCAAACATTCACCTAACGGGATAAAAATGTAAAATGGTGCACATAAAAGATATTTGACTGCTAGTAACATACTTATGGCAATAAGCAACATACAGTTGGTGTCACGATGGTCGTGCTTCACATTTTTCTTTAGATGAGATATAATCGCAATAACATCTAACAAAAAAAAGAATCAAATAGATCCATATTTTATTAACCTAATAAAATGGAACAGCCAACTACCATAAATATAGTAAGGGAATACATCAATGTTTGATCCTATACTTTGGTACAAAATACTATGTAAATGACCTACAATGCAACAATATTATGGTTGAGATTGAATATATCAGCATATGAAGTGATTGCAAAGCTTGGTAACAATACCTGACTAGAAAGCTTCTTTTCCCTGCCTATTAAATATAAGGCCGCAAGTAACAAACATATTCCATGTCCCCAATCACCAAACATGACAGCAAAAAGAAACGGGAATGTCACGATGGTATATACAGCAGGATTTGCTTCTTGATACTTAGCCACCCTGCGGTTGCATTAAAACAAACCATTTCAGAATCTTGTAATATTTCTGCTGGAAACAATAGATTATCAGCACAATTTGTGATTCCAAATTCTAAGATTCAATTTTTTATGAGAAAGATTCACCATCAGTAGATGTGGGGTTTGATTTTTTACTACAGCCACTTACAACTGTTTCATTGATTTCAAACATGGACCTTCATTAATGGCTACATTAGATATCACATTAAGAATTAAATAGTTGATTTTTACCAAATAATACCTGGCATAACAAGTTACTATCTAGCTTACCTGTTAATGGTAAGCAAGCACTATAAATGGTAGATTAAAACCACCACAACAGAAATCAACTACACAATGTGGATGAAAACCTTCAGTATCTAGCCCTGGCACCTTACTAGGGAAATTCCAGAAATGACAGTGTTTAAGGATAAAACTGACTAAATTTCTTTCTCTTTTTCTTCATTCTTAAAAATCTATTCCAATTAGCCATAAAGGAGCACAGAAGATAAAGATATCACAGTGGAACTCACCCGTATGCATCAACAATTTCTTGAAAAGAAGAAGTGAATTTGTTTGTACGGAAATAGGTAGGTGGTGCCTCCTTAGCATGCAAAACCTGGAAAATAGCTCCAACTTGTGAGTTGGAATCAAATGCTGCCCGCTGCAATGCATCTTGGATCTGCAAAAAAATAAAGATACAATGAAACAAAGAAAGTCAATTACATATTCCACTTGTACATCATTGTTCACACTTTTCAACTCAAAATGGGTATAAAATGAATCATTATACTATGGAGAAATATTTGTAAGTAAAGGATACCTGTTTTGATGCAAAAACAGGACTCCACCCTTCAGCCACAAGACATTTTTTTGTAACATCAAGGCTAAGCATGTTAAGATGGTGGTATATGGATTTCTCCTTCCTCACCTTCACAATTACAAAGAAACATTGTAAATAACTTAACATTGGCAACACACTCAAACACCATATGTTTTGGGTTAGTCATAGTCATATCTCCACACATATAATGAATAAACCTCATTAAATAAAATAATTCCAAACCTACCAAAAGGTTCCACTGCTCAAAATGCTCGCCAATAGTCTGTAACAAACTTCCCCGAAGTAACACTCCAACATCTATGGTAGTCTTTAGCTCTGAAAGTCTTCCCGAAACCTGATGTTGAGGGTTAAATAACCAACGTTGTCACGATGAGATAAAAATAACCAACATCGTCAGAATTGGATCAATGGAAATCAAGGCCCGGGAGGATAACTTCATAACATGTAGATGATCAACACCCTGGAATATGGACGGACTGCTAACAACTACAAAAGGCTTACTTGGATTTCTACTTAAGCATGGGGGTTATACAAACCATATTAAGAATTTAATAAATAGTTTTGAAGTATGCTTAATATTAACAATGAAATTACTTCATGATGGAAAATAAGCACCAAGAAAAGGATAGATATTATGAATGGACAAAACTGCAAACGGCTAAGGTTTCTTTGATTAGTTTTCTTTTTTATTTCTACAGAAATGAAACATGATATATGATACAGAAGAAACAGAGAAGCTATAAACCAAGAAAAAATACATACCTCAGTAATCATCTGATATTGTCTACCTAGGTCCTCAGTAAAAGAGTATCGATTAGCACCAAAGGCATCACATATTTTGAGAATTTTGCTCTTTGCTCTTTCCCCAGAGTAGAATACCACAAAAACATTTTTCTCAACCTGCATACAGATTGTCATTCACAGTCAAAGACGAAGTGTGCTAACATTTTTGCTAAACATTGACAGAGCGCTTTTGGTTATTTGAAAGCTCTTATAGCCATTCTTAAAGAACTTCCAATCAGGTCAAACTCTCCCCCACAATTCCTGTACCCCCAAGATCCTTATGGACTGTTTGGTTGAAACAAAAGGCATAACTTTTAACCTGGTGGAGATTTTTAAATACCTAACCTATTTATTGGACTTCTTTGTTGAAACATATTAATGATATCCAGTTTACTGTTATTGATCTTGTCAGTTAGTTTTGATGGACTTAAAGTCCATCTTTATCGTGACCTTAAATTATAAAGAGTAAAAGATACCACAAGAACAAATAGAAACTTCCTCTCCTCTTTCCAATAACATAAAAATGCAGGAAATGACGTGTCAATACCTTCTCTCCTGAAACAGGATCAGTCACGGGATTCTCAACAACAGTCTGCCTCAGAAAAACATTACCCCGAGTAGCTCGAAATAGAATCCTCTCAAATGCCAAAGACTTTTCCCTGGGAACAAGACCAGTGAGAAATCCCAACTTCACTTGCTTTGATGGATCGGTTGATGTTTCCTTCACAACAACAAAACAAAAAGAATTGGACTTGGCAACAGGAAGAAAACTGTGGTTAATCAAAACACAGAAAATCCAAGATTGAAATCTGTACTTGCTCCAATAACAAAGGCATGTCCAGGGATTCATCACCGATATCACGGAATTCATTTTCTCTCTGATGCAACACAGCACTGCTTCGAGCTGCGTGAAAAAACTCACCAGCCTAAAAGGAAGAGATTTTTCAGTCACATGAGAGCCTATTGAAATAAAGTAAACATCAAAAGAGAGACACAAAACCAAATGAGAGTAACTCTATTCAAATTCTAGTTCATTGGCAGATCAAATAGATACTCGCTTCTCTGTTAGTGATAAAAGAAAACGGCCAATGAGATTCAGAACTCTCTGAACTATTAAGTTTATACGTCAAACATATCTTACCAATTCAGCTCATTTAACGATATCACCTGCATTATTATGTGCAATCTTATGATGTGTCAGCTGATGATGCTTACATGAAACTTTAATTTTTATAATCTACCCAGAGCTGTTGCTTATGCTAATTTAAGGTTATTTGGAAGGTCACTACTGCTGTTAGCTGAATTTCAGTTTTCAAGTTCTTTCTGTCTTAATATCTTGTGTATTTACTTGAAATAAAAAATTTGGATAAATCTCTATCTGATTCCTGTTTACTAGATTGAAAAGTTACTTAGAGAAGATATGAAAAATGCATCATTTAATATTCAGAGGTCAGGGAGTTTAATAGACTATATCTATGTGTGCAACGGAGCAAAAATGAATCCCATATTTTTTAAACTGCTCTATGGCTTGAGAAATTTGGAGTTTTTACCATCTTTATTTGGGGTATATTGGCTGCTTCCTGAGACAGTCTGCAGCCTTTTAGGGTGGCATGGCAAGTTTTTGGAACGGTCCAACTACAGCTCTTAGGCATTTGCCTTTTTTTTTTGGGTCTTTGTGGTTGTAGAGAAAAATTAAGTATTCCGAAGTGAAAAACATTGCATAACGGAGATCTCAGCTTGCGTGGTAGCTATCTGAATGAATAAAACTCCTCAAACCTCTTTTAATCTTCATGCACAGTTTCTGTTTTCTTTTCATTTTCAGTATTAGGCACGTACAGCTTTTGTACATGGATAGAAGCCTCTTGGAAACTTTTGTTACTTATAATAAAAACTGCATGGTAATAGAGATGCAAAGATCCTTTTTGGGCCAAAAACAAAAAAGGGTCATTACCTTTTCCAGAACAAGCTTATATTCTAAGAGTTCATTATATGAACGTTGCAACTTTTCATCATTCAAATTTATTTCAATCAGCTCTGCCTCAAGTTCACCAAGTTTTACCTAGCATACACACAAAGGTGAATTTGTCAGAACATGCAGCATTAAACATCTTTGGCTATGCACCAATCCCCTTATTATACCTCTAGGTCATCCACATTGACATCAACTTGTCTTGCAGACTTTGAAGGAGGTAAATCTGCCTTTGACATTTGCTCCTTAAAGAAACGTAATTTGCGTGCCATCTCTGCACTTCTTTTAATCTTCATAGAAAAATGAAATAGAGAATTTACCAACCAAATACTCATCCGAAGACATAATATTTTGATACTTTAAACAATTATGACAAGAATAGATTGGAAATGTTCTGTATCCATCTTCCAATCTAGATAGCCAGTAAAGAGTACATGGCCCTTCTTGATTTGGCAACAATCTAGAACAGTTCACAAGAACAACTTGCTAATTTACCAAGACATACAAAAGCAAAGAAGAAATAAGCGATATGAGAAGTTAACCATTTGAGCAACTGATTGGATCAAGCCTCAATATTAGGTATATATCAGGAAAAAAAAAAGAGATCATCAGCAAGGATGGGATTCGATTAGAATGAGCATAGTGAAAACACCATCAAAGTTCATATGTATGTAAACATAAAATTCTCTCTCTAAAATAGGTTATATGAGGACCGCAACCACGAACAGCTGACCGAGCCAAGTACTTCCCTTTCTTAAAACTGTCAATTTTGTCACTTAAAGAGACCTGTTATTAACTCTATATTCTAAAATATATTTGTGACTGCTTCAAAGTCACCATAGACTTTTCTATAGATATACAATGGGTCAGAAAGTAATATCCTGCCCCAGCATAGTAGACACAATATATCATTCTATCTCTTAAAGGTCCATCATCCCAAAGGAGGTATTGATAGCTGACAGTACAGTTTTTATATTTAATTATGAAAAACTAAATGTTTATTTATGTTGACTTTCTTAGAAGGTCTTTTTCATTAAAACTAATCATAAAGTACAGCTCTAAAGGTATTTTACAGCACTAAAGGTATGGGTTGAAATTGGAAAACCTCTAAGACAACATGAACCATTGGAAAGAAATTTAAACCATAGGCTTTCCCTCCTTTTCCTGCTAATCTTTATAACTCAATTTTATGAGACGTATTTTTTAAGGCATATCCACGACCAAACAAAATGAACAAACGTGATGTTGGTCAGCAAGCTAAGAAAAATAAACACACCTGAGCAGCATATGTCCTCTGAAACGGGCTCTTCTCTGAATTGAGCTGGAAGAATGATACATAAAGTTTTAGTAACAAAATAAAAATTTAATAAAAAATTATGAAAGCAGCACAACAGTGATTAGATTAAGGATGACCAACAACAGAGCTAGCATAGTGCTTCAAGTTAAGTGCAATTTGTGCAGCATCAAGAACATCATGTCACCGAATTTCAAACATTAGTTCTCCATAATTTTGTAAGAGTTATTAACCAAGTAGAAAGTATTAAAACCTCTGTCAATTATAAAATAGGTGAAGCCCTTGTGTGGTCCTCATTTTTTTCTAATCCGCTTCCCCGTAAACCTTTTCTTCATTTCAGGATGATATGATAGTTCACCTTCAACTTCAGTTCCTTAAACTTAAATAGAACATTGTACATTCTGGAACAGGAATAATGAAATAACTTGCTTTTTGTTTTCATACATATACTTTGCCAATAGCTTAGACAAAAGAGATCTGAGTTAATCTCAACTCAGAGAGCTACCGTGTTCACCACCCACCCATACACTACATTACCACTCTGTGGTGAGCAAAACAATACCAAAAGTTTCGACCCACTGCTTTTGGATTGCTCCCGCTACTTATATCTTTCTTATTTGATATATGACTCGCGACTTGTGTTAGTCTGCTATTTGAAGCTCTTTAGCTAACAACATGTCCATTTTAATGGGGATACACACTTTCAAGACACCAAAAATCTGACAGTGCCATGATCGCTTACTAGGCGCTCGCGATGCTAAATGCTCCGATAATCAATTGTCTTTTTTGGGGATACTAAATTACGCAATTGGTAATTAACCAATCGATCAACCACTTCAATTTGCAGATAAATTGAGTTCCTTAAAATCTAAAGAATCAAACACCATTCACTAACCAGGCAATTAAATTTCATACATAAAAACGAAACCCTAAATCTGACAAAAGAAAAACACTTGCGCAAAATCGAATCCAATCCAACTGAGAATTCCAATCGGAAACAGAGCCAAGTTAGGGTTTTTACTGTTTCCCCGCAGCAAAAAAGAATCGAAAAAGGAAGAACAAACCATAATTGAAACAGAAAATTGGGAATGAGGGGGAGAGAGGGGGAGAGAGGGAGTAAAAGGTGTACGTCTTTGAACTGGATGAGACCGAGGTCGCCGAGATAAGAGACGGTAGGGTGAGCGGACTCGATGGGGATGATGATCTGGACGAGCTGCATCGGCTCCGACCTGAACAGATCCATCGGAGGACAGCACTCTCCCATTCTCTCTCTCTTCTCTCTCTCTCCTCTCCGGATGGTTTTTCTGTGTTTGTGTTGGTGTTGGTGTAAATGCGTGACTACAGATAGTCAAAAAAAAAAAACTGAGGAGAGAGAGAATGAAGATCAAACAATGATTCACTTTGCTGATTGCTTTGGTTGCTCCTCTCTCTCTCTCTCTCCTCTCTCTCCTTCGCGCTGCGCCACAAAAGGATCTCCCACGTCACCAGGTCCCCGCTTCCTCTATTTAATTTCTATTTTTGGGGATAGGGAAGGTTTTGTAGGAAATTTCTTGGGCTTTTGCAACTTTTTTTTTTCTCTCTCTCTTTTCACTTTTTATTTGGCTTACTTTCAAGCCACGCTTCTTAAAACTTGATTTTAATTTCATTTTATTCTTGTAATTCAAAAGTTATCATTATATTTTCTAAACACAAAGTTTACTCCATTTTAATCTCATTTTACCTCTGAAATTTGAAAGTTGTTTATAAAAAAACTCAAAAGTAGCTCTACATTACCTTAGATCTGTTAATTTCTAGTGTTGGTTTGATTTGAGTGGGCTGGGCTAATTATTTTCTTTTTTCTTTTTTTTATCTTTTTAGTTTCTTTTAATCTTGATATTCTCTAATTGTTGAATGTTAACACATAATAGAGATTTATAATCAAATTTATTGCACACATGTGATATAGTCTTATTAGGTGTTAGGTTTTCAGAGAGAAGAGAGAGTCCACAAGTCAAAGTGGAATGAAGTTTGAGTTCTAGGAAGTAAAGTGGTAACTTTGGAGTTATAAGGGGCATAATAAGATCAAAATGAAGTTTCAGAGAGTGTAGGTAAAAAAAAAGCCTTTTTATTATTAGGTTGTGTTTATTTATTAAGAGCAATTTCGGCTGTTGGATGAGGGCAAGAGTTTTGGGGTTGCCTTCTAAAAAATAAGTGCCTTTGTGCAACTCTATCAATTGGCCAAAGGCAAGAGTAGGAGAGATTACTATTCACAAATATATATTTTTATTATATATGTGTGTGTGTGTGTATGTGTTTTTTCTTTTTTTTTGATAACCAAATAATTTATTAAAGACAGAAACCTCTAACATAACCACTAGCCCCAAAGTCGAATCTAAGAGCAATCATTGCCTCAGGGGGCAAAAAGTAATCCCGAAAGTGGGGGTTAACAAGAGAAATGCCAACATAAGTAAGAGCATTTACATCAAAGTTTGTCTCTCTATAGATGTGGTGCCACGAAATCTCTACAAATTTAGACGCTAACCCCTTGATATCATTGACAACTTGACAAATATGCTAATGGGGCTTCCATTCACCACATGCAAGCTGGATGACAAGCAAAGAGTCCTCCTTCACCATTAATCTCCAGGTATCCTTTCTCTTGGCAAGCAACAACCTCTCTTGTAAAGCAGTAGCTTCAACCACAATGATAGTGGCTGCACCAAGGCACAAAGCTCCTGCAACGATAGGAAAACCCTCCTGGTTCCTCAAAACAAAAGCTGCAGCACTATTTCCCAAAGAAACAGATCCATCAAAATTTAACTTAATAACATCCAGAAGGGGGAGGGTTCCACATGATAATATGGTTATGGTTCAATGCCACCGTCTTGAGTGAATTGTTGCCAAAAGTACCTACTTTTGTTGCCACACAATGACTTCTAGTTGCATTTGGATCTATGCTATTAAACATTTTTTATTTCGATCTTGCAATAATTGCCACCAAATTAAAATTGCTTTACGCAAATCACTTAACTCCTTCTCATCATCAGAGTTAAGGATCTCCAACCAGTCAATTACATTACTAACTTGATGGTTAGTACTTTTCCACAGACTCACCTAGGATAAATGTTACATTTGAAGTGCTTGATGGCAATTAAGGAAAAGATGATCTTGACTTTCCTCATCCCCATTACAAACAGGACAACTCATACTAATACTTTGAATATGTCTACGTAGTCTCAACCTAGTGTGCAGTCTCTCCAAGATAAAAAGCCAAGCAAAAATACTTTTGGAGGAATTTTTAGACTCCACATCGATTTTAGAAGTTTACTTCTATTTACTTATTGGTTGTCATTACCTTGGATCCACGTGGCTGACTTAACTGAGAATTCCCCATTCGAAGAATGCTTCCACACAAAGAAATCATCCTTGTTATGCCAATGAATAGCAATCATACATATCTTTCTAACGATATCACTATCCAGTACTTGCAAAAGACGTTCACTGTTCCAACAATTATTCTCAATAAAATCATTCACGCTTAAATTTCCAGTTCAAGTTTCCATGGTTGTCTTACGAGATGAGATGGAATCAAGGGTAAAGAAAAACCCAGTGATGGGTCCAATAAAGGATATCCTTACCATTACCCACAATCCATCTCATACCGTTGTGAATAACATCTTTACTTTTAAGAATACATTTCCAAGCAAGAGAATGATTTTGCTTGACTTTACAATTTAAGAAACTTTCATTTCTAAGGTACTTATTTTTGACAATTTTCACCCATAAGCTATCCTTCTCTTTTAAAACTTTCCATCCTAGTTTAGCAAGGCAAACATTATTGAAGTGGTCAGCCCTTCTAATACCTAGACTACTCCGATCCTTGGCCTTGCAAAGGTGTGAACTTTATAAGTTTGTTTTTTGAAAATAAAACGTTCTATTTAACTCCAATAATTTAATTTCAAATACTAAACAACGTATAGCATTAAAACAAGCATAATTAATTAAAAATAAAGGGCAAATGGAGAAGATGATTGGATATTTATAGAAAAAATTAAATATTTTTTCTTTTTTTCCCTTTTTCCCATTTTTAAAAATTAGATTAATCATGACCATTTGATTTTTCTTATTATTGAATTCGACGCTCTAAGACATGCCACGTGGCACAATATAACTTTAAAAAAAATTGTCGTTGAAAATCCAACAGCTCTCCCCGCGCCACGTTGGGTAGTCATTGGGCTTTCTTCTATAGCTACAACAACGGGACCCATGACAACAGAAACTGTCAGCCCACTCACCCAAGATGTGTGTGTATTACATGCACTTGATATTAAAAAAATAAAAAAAAAAATAAAAAAAAATAATAAAAAAAAAAAAGGAAGGAGATTGAAATTGGTACCAGGTGGAAAACCCTACAATTAAAATTGGATATTGATGTACTGACTAGACACAAGCACTAGTCAACTAAGTATACGATGTTAGATACACTATAACACACAAACACCAAGAAGTCACAGATGAAAAGTTCTTAACTGTGTGATCTACAGTTATATTTTAGTTTGATTATTATAACTGAGTTTCTTGATTAACAAGGGTTCATTACTAGAAAGTCCTACATAGTAGCTTAAGCTAAGGTGATTGAGTTAAGAAGGTAACTTTGTAAAGTACTGTACACAAGGATGTTTTTTGCCTGAAAAAACCCACATCTGGGTTAAAAAACTAAGGACTCTTCACTGAGTTCAATCCACTAGTGTAAACAAGTTTCATACAAAGCAACCACACAAGCTCAATTCCTAGATCCTAATCTATGGAGCAGCTTATACCTTTGTGCAACCTTGCCTTACACGAAATAGACTCATTCAGTCTTCACGAAGTGGCAACTTCTCTTGAGCTCATCACCTTGTGGCACTAAGAACCAACATGATCCATGATATGACGAGAATGATAATAAGAAATCTGGATTCAAACAACCGACCAGTTTTTCCAGTCAAACAATTGAAAGAAGCAACTTGCAAAAATCTAAAACTTGATCTAAGATAAGTTTTAAAGCTTAAGATTAGATCAAGATGAAAATGAAAAACTATGAAAATCAATGCATCTCTTGTATGTAAGATTTGGGTTTTAATGCATGAAAATAATTTTGCGGTTAGGGCAGCTAAAAAGAATAAAAAAAGAAGCACTAAGCTCAAAAACACTCTTTTGAAATATGCAAGATCTTATAGCCAAACAAACAAGGAAGGCAGCTAGGGTTTTAACATGGTAGCTACAAGTTTTTAGTCCACACAAGGACAAAAGACACTTGTCAATGCAAAGCACGATATGAGCGTTTCCAACCAGATCACATAACCAGACAGAAAGAACTTAGGTTTATGCATCAAATGCACATGTATGAACAAACCTTTTGTGATGATGATTGTGTAGACATGTAAATTTTGTTGCATACAAACGATGCACCACAAAGCTCTACGTGGCATATGACACATCACAAATGGACAAGTCATCAATGACATATGGCATAAATCAAGTAAATGAAGTAGAAAACTTCCCCAAAAACTCAGCAAACAAGGGAGAATCCCTCTTAAATTCAGCAAGAGCTCAAAATACTCTCAAAATAAGAAAGAAAGTTAAGGCATCTTCATAAAACAAGCAAGAATTGAAGATTGCTCACAAAATAGGCAACAAGGCCTCATAATTTTGGCCAAGGGAGTAAAGTGACTGAAATTAAGACACAAAACATCCCTAAATTATCCCATGGACAAATTAGGACATAAATCAAAGCCAAATCCACCTAAAGGAAAGCCTTGAGAAGCCTATAAATACAAGGTCTTCTCACAAGCATAAGGGTCGAAAAATCTCTACACAGAAGAACCTCTGCCAAACCTTTGAAGACTAATACACTGCCAAAGCTCTCTTTGAAGAACATTTAACCAAAGCCGAAGCATTCTTTTGACCAAAGCCGAAGCATTTCCTTGAAGAATCAACAAGCGCTCGTGCCGATTCCTTTAAGACTTTGTTGCAATCTTATAAACTTGTAGCAACATTCGTTTCAAGATCAAGTCACCAAGACCCTTGAAGCAAATCCCGCATCAAACACTACCTTTTACCGCACCTTGAGGTGAAGATCATCCACGCGTTGTTTTCAAGCTCAAAACTTGAAGCAATCGTTCAATCATTCATCCAAGATCAAGTCATCGCGACCCTTGGATTAATAATCATGCATCTACATCAAATTTGAAGACTGAATCAAAGGATTGTAAACAGAGATTGTAACCTACAAATTCAAATCAATACAAATTTACTTTGTACACATGTTCTCATTTCATTCGTTATAGAATTTTCGTGTTTACAAATTTGGCACGCCCAGTGGGACATTTCTACCTCTCATCTCTGTCTTCAAACCTGCAAAAAACACAAATGGCATCAAGGAAAGATCAAGCTATTCCCGTTACCAACGCGAAGAACAAGGGCATCAT